GGTTGACTCCTATGTGTGCCCTGATTGGGGATTGAACCTGCAACCTAGGTATGTGCCCTGACCAGGAATTAAATCCACAATCTTTTGGTGTAAGGAACAATGCTCCAACCATCTGAGGCACATGACCAGGACTGGGTTCATCTTGGTTGGGACTTCCTGAATATGTGTAACTTTTTCCTTCACCAGGTTAGTTTTTAGTCATTATTTTTTTCAAACAGGTTCTCTATCCCTTGCTCACCTTCTTCTCCTTCTGGTATCTCTATGATGTGGATGTTGTTATGCCTGATGTTGTACCAGAAGTCCCTTAAACTTTCCTAATTTTTAATTTTTTTTCTTTCCTGAGGATTTTTTCCTCCTTTGCTTTTCAGAGAGAGTGGAAGGGAGAGAGGGAGGTGGAGAGAAAGAAAGAGAAACATTGATGTGAGAGAGATACATCTACTGGTTGCCTCCCATACATGACCTGACCAGGGGCGGGAGTAAAGCTACAACCCAGGTATGTGCCCTTGACTAGGAATAGAACCTACAACCCTTTGGTGCAGGGGCCGATGCTCTAACCACTCAGCAACACTGGCCATGGCAGACTTTCCTCATTTTAAAAAATTCTCGTTTCTTTTTGATGCTCTGCTTGGGTGCTTAGGATTATCTTGTCCTCTGAATTGCTGATTCAATCCTCTGCTTCATCTAACCTGCTGTTGATTCCTTCTAGTGTATTTTTCATTTCAGATAGTGTATTTTTCATTCCTGATTGGTTCTTTTTTATAGTTTCTTTTTTTTCTTCTATGTCCTTTTTAATGCTTATTATCTCTTTGTTTAAGCTCTCACTGAGATCATCCATTCATCCTCTCAGGTTCTTCTTCTTTTTTTTTTTTCATAAAGAACTAACGATTTACTTCATAGAAATACATCTACACAAGTTAAGCATACAGCACAGAACTATAAACAACAAGGTGAAGCAAACATTATTTATTTTCAGGTAGCCTGATAGATTATTACAGATTTTAGAAATCAGCACATAGAACTACTGGACAAAGCATTGCTTACAGGTGTTTTTATCTGTGTGGAGTCAAAGGCTAAACTGTTTGTCCAAAGTTATCGCTGGGAGAGCCCTCAGGTTCTTGAACATCCTTATAACCATAGTTTTAAACTCCGCACCTGGTATTTTGATTGCTTCCACTTTGTTTTATTATTTTTCTGGGGATTTCTCTTATTTTTTTATTTGGGGCATATTTCTTTGTCTCCCCATTTTGTCTCCTTTTTCTGTGCTTGTCTCTGTGTATTAGGTAGATCTTCTATGACTCCCAAGCTTGTTATGAGGGCTTTCTGATGTAGGTGCCTTATGGGTCTCAGGGGCAGAATCTTCTAGATTACCTGAACTAGCAGCTCAAGAAATAATTCTTGTGTGGGTTATGTGCTCTCTCCTATTGTAGTTGAGTCTTAAATGCTGTTGGCCCATTCATGGGTAGAGCTAATTCTCAAGCTGGCTGATTATAAGGATAGACCTCATTCACTGTGTATGAGTTGCTATTCAGGAGTTGCCTCTGAAGCAGAGCTGTTTCTAGCAGGGTATGGTGTTTGCTGAAGTCCCCCTTTGGCAACGCCATTTGTGTGGCTAGTTGGGCCAAGCTATTGTGTGGTTTGAAGCCTACCAGTGGTTATGTTGGTTTGGGGCCTCCTTGGCCTGGGCTCTGGTGCGGGTCAATGTCAAATGTTGTGAATAATTGGCCTTGGGTTACCTGTCTGGAGCTACCATACTATTCACTGTTTCCTCTGTGTCTGCCAATAGTCCTTTCTGCCGGACTCGAGCTTGGTAGGGTGCTGTCACCAGCATTTGGAATGCCACGTTAGTGCCCTCCCCAACTGGTGCTGTAAGAATAGGAATGCCTGACCCTGAGAGATGGAGCAGTGTGGTATGTTGACTCAGGACCAGAACCTCAGTAGCCGACTTGCCAGAGCTCTCCCAGAGCCACACCACCCAGATCCTCTTTTTATCCCTCTGCATGCCCTGAGTCACCTCCCCTCTAACAGAGCCACGGGTAAGTCCCCAAGAGTGAGCTCCTGTGGGTTGGCCCTTTAGAAGAGCACCTAGGATGCTAGCAGACTCCCTCCTCTTTCCAGCTGACAGAGTCCCTGTTGATCTTTGCTGCCAAATGCTATGCAGACTCCTCTTCCTGGCCCTGCTGCTCTGGTTTGGGGTTCCTGGCATGGGGTTGAGACCCCACACTCCTCAGGAGGGACTTTTACAGCTGACATATCCTCTGGCTTCTTAGCCACTGTACCTGGGTGCTGGGGCCAGCCCTCTCCATGTATCTGCCCTACTTACCAGTCTCTATGTAGCTTCTTTTATATATACTTGGATGTAATACTCCTATTCAACTGTTCTTCAGTTGGTCATTCCAGTTGATTGCTTTAAATTTAACTGTAAATCTGGTATGGTGCCAGGAGGGGGTGTGTGTAGCTGCCACCTACTTTGCATCCGTTTTGGATCGCCCCAGATAATGGTTTCAAACCCAGTGTTCTTTTAATTATATCATAGCAATGCTAGCATGATTAAGGCAGAAAAAAAAATTTAAGAAGGAAAATTTGAGATCCACAGTAAAGCTAGAATTAGTAGGACTTTGATTCAACAGCTTTATTTATTTATTTAATTTTTTTAATTAAATCTTTATTGTTCAGATTATTACAGTTGTTCCTCTTTTTTCCCC